TGAGAAATGTGCTCTACCAAATAATTGACCTGGATGTTACAGGGTTAAAAAGCGGAGAGTGAAAAACTGGAGAACATGATTCAAGCAGATGGAGTTGAGTTGAGACATAAGTCACGGAAAGAGTCCCCAGAGGATAATCAAAAAGTCAGCAGAGTCACCATGAAGCATATGGGTAAGAGAAGCAAATGACAAAAAAACAGAGTAAGTGAAATTCTACTTGCAGTTCAGCCTACTTAAAGTCTTCAGATGCATACGTTCAAAGACTCAAATACATTGATAAACAAAAAGCCGTCCCGAAAAATGAGATTGTTACACAATTTAAAATTTGACATTGATGATACCAAAAATGGACGCACAAACCTTCTGTCATTTGTAATACCTATATATCTGTTCCTCTTCCTTGCGTAACTTAATCCCATCGGCCCCTCTAGATGACATGATTTAACACTAGTAATAGGTGGGCCCTGTCGCTGGCCCCCCTAATGAGAGAAGCCAGTGCACTTCTTTAAACAGCTGCAAATTTGGAAGTGGTTTGTGCATCAGTTGGTGGTGAACAGGTGAAGAAGCTGACAGGCCCCGAACAGACTGTCACTGTTTTTTCAAAACCTTTAACCAGCTTTATCCACCAAAAACTAAAATAAGAGTGGCATAGCTGGGAGACATTAGCATGACTCTCTATGCTCCAAAAACAAGTCAGGTTTATCTTTCCAGAGTCTGGAGCATGCAAACTACATAGATATAGAGTTATCACTGTGTAGAATTTTGAAAACATTAAATCTGTTTCTTCCTGACTCAACCAGATACTGGCGTGCTTTTGGATGTACTTCGTCCGAATTAGCACCATTGTGGTATCAGTCCACATCAAAGCAGGAAGATTTCCCCAAAATGCTGAATGAAGCCTTGGGAACAACTTCTGAAGACTTAATGACTGTAAGTGAGAGCCAAATAGGGGCATTATTTGGAGAGAGGATGATGATATAAAATGAAACGTAAAATCCATCCTCTGAGATATTTTTGGCCCAATGCTTGTCTTTGCCTTCCTCCATAATCTCCTGCACGGGAATATCCCCCAGGCACCCATTTCTCCCATCGTTTCTTCCTGAAGGTTTCCTCAGCCCTCTCCTATTTTAGTATGTTCCACCAAACGTGATTTGACCTCTTCCGTGAAGAAAAAAAAAACGACTAAGCCCCCCTCGTAAAAACCATGTCGCCCTGTGTGTTTGTGTGTGTTTCCATACGGCAACAGTTTTTTTCCCAGTGCTAAATGGAGAGGGGGGGTCATCAGCACTCGGCACAACAGGGAGGATGGTCCTGCCTGGATTCCCCAGCAGCTCTTTATAAGGACACGGGGAAAAAGCCTCTGCTGCCTCTATATTTAGATTGACTTTATTGGGCCTCTTGTCTTCGCTTTTTTTTTTTTTATCCCTCCTCCTGTGCACTGCTGGTGGAAATCTCTCACCAAAGCCATGTGGGAGGGCAGCCCTCCTCTCCATCACGGAGAGGGGAGTGTGAGTCTGATAATGATCTCACTGATAATAACAGAGGAGAGGAAAGGAAAGAGAGATGGAGGGAAGCTGACAGAAAGGTGGTGGGTGGTGTGGCTGCTCTTTTTTTTTTTCTCATTGGGTCCCCTCCGTTTCTGCTGGCCATGCCCTCTCTGTCTGGCTTGGAGTAATAGGAAAGATTTGCACTTGTCGGCCATGCCGAGAAGAGACCACCTGCTAACTCAACCGAACACACACCTGCTTTGGACTGCTTAGGTTTTGACACGGAATGGTGAAACTGCTAACTAATTACATGTGCAGCAATGTGTGCAGATAGACACCATGCAGGTTCAATTATGTCCACTTATTTGCCATTTATCCACTGGTGATTGTAATATTCAAACCCAAAAGGCCTGATGGCAGCACGCAATAAGCTGGTTTCTGTGGCAGAGGGAAAGTTACCACACATGTAGTAATAGCTTTAGATGGAGGCTTGTCACAGACCAGGCCTGACACAATTCTTTACAACACTGAAGATAATGGGTACATTATCAGGGCTTGCTTTTCCAGCCTTGGCTTCTATTCTTCTCCACTGTTGATATCACTGGAAAATATAACATGCATTTGCTAATATATTGTTTCATATCTCTAAACTAAAAGAAAACGGAGGTATTGTCACTCTGATAGTAACAGATTAGATTGAATGAGAATGGTATAGGAACACGAAAAGTAAGCGACAATAATTTAAGCAACTAATTCATCTTGTTTAGACGCAATTTACTGCACAAGGAGCAATATTCTTAACCTGTTGATGGTATTTTCTTAAAGTATTATACTTTCTTAAAATATTAGTCAGTATTGCTGCTGATAATACTAAATAATACGAGTCTTGTACTGTAAGTGAATAGGTTGTCTTTCTTTTAATGGGAGAAACAGGCAGAGAGATCCATGAAAGGGCTGGAGCAGGAGTCCAAAAATCTCCATGTGGACCTCACCAATCGGCAAAGCCCAGACGGGTGGAGCTGAATGGCCAAATTTGCATGTGAGCTGTCAAATTCAGGAGATGCGCAAGAAACACCTCAACTGCCATGCAAATGGGAATCAAATGGGATTCAAAACAGGCCGAGCTGCAGTCCGGGTCCAAAAAGGTGGGACTACGGGGGCGTTTAGTGCACTCCGCAGTGGTCCGTGCTGCGCCACACAGCCATGCAGCTGTCTGGGTTTCTGACTTTTGGCTAAAAGGTCCGTCTAGTTTGACCACAACAGCGGCAGCAGACCGTTGGGAAGGACAAACTATGACATCAGAGCGGTGCGCGCAGCTCTGGAGACAATAGTTCTCTGTGCGGGAGGAGAGAGGGGGGGGCGTGGCCCGGCCGGACAGAGGCTCTTCTCAGCGGGCCGGCGGCGGGGCCTCAGCAGCTGTCTCAACCTCTGTCTGCATCTCTGATACATACGCAGTCCCGATCCGGCATGAAAGCTGGAGCAGATTTATGTTAAATCCCTTCGGCCCCATGTGTCCCCCTTTGTGTGCCACTCTTTCCAGGCCCAGCTCAGGAACGCAGCGACGGAGGTGGAGTAGGAGAGCCCCAGAGAAAGAAACATTTTTCGTTCACATTTGCAAAACAAAGAGGCAATGGACAGAGAGATCCCCCCCCCCCACCCTCCACACCAACCGATCTGGACAGATAGCACAGATAACTGGGCATGTGTACCCATAAACATGATGTCTGCCTATGACTGTGTTTACACCCTGTTTGTGCCACAAGCAAAAAACTAAGAGGCTTTGGTCAGAATACTCAGCCTGTTTACTCAAACCCTCCAGCGGAGAGCCATTCTTCCCCAAACAGCCATAAAGGTTTACAGGCCATGACAGAGAGGGGTGAAGAAGCTCACCATGTAGCTGAATTTCACACGGGGAGAGTTAGCGGGTTACGTGATCTGGAAGCCTCACACATGCCCAGAGCAGTAGGGCCAAACCACCACCTGAGGGCTGGGGGGGGGGGGGGGGGGGGGGGGGGGGCGGCCTGCCTATAAGAGGACGGCTCAGTGCGGGGTGAGCAAACAGTCGGCGAGCATCATTGAGCTAGTATGAGCTGTGTATCCACACAAAACCCACCTGCCCTTCAGTTTAGGTCTAATGACAACAAATGCAACAAAGCCCTAGAGATCCGCCCAGCCTGGAGGGGCCGCCACAGCTGCCTATTCAGCCTCTTGTTCACCTGTGAGAGGGCCTCAATAGGTCTCCGCGTTATTAAAAGCTTTTATACACACGGGCCGATCGCAATATGAATATCCATAAAGGACGTCGGCTCAGGCGGGGGGTTGGCGGTAAATTATGATCGGGCCTTTTGTCTGAGCCTCCAGCCCCGAGCGCAAACTTCCAGCTTTGCTTAAGGACACAGAGCCTCGGCTTTTGTGTTTTATCTGCACACCATTTCTCTGAAAAAAACGGCCCGGGTATTATCAGTCAGTTTCCACAGCGGCCTCGCCATTTCACAAACAGCACACCCTCACACAGACCATTATGCTGACCATGCAAATAAGGATACCACTGATTTTTAGTCGTACTTCTCTTACGTACTTCTCTTCAGCTGCTGAAAGGCTGTTATAACCATAAAATAGTGAGAGAAAAAAACCCACCGAAGCCCCTCAAATCAAAACCTAACTCAGTAAAAAAGAGCTGACATGCCCCTGAGAAAGCTGTTGGCTGTGTACACTCCTATGTTTGAAATGCAAACAACAAGTTGGGCTTGCCGTGGCCCCAAGACATGAAATCTATTGTGTAAATAATGTTTGACATCAACTCTGGACCAGACTGATGATCATTTCAGGATGAGTTCTGATGCTGTGGGCAGCTGCCATCATGAAAATGATCACTCAGAAGTCTTTGGGAAGCATGTTGTTCCTACTAGGCACGAGAGAGGAATGATACAACCTAGATTGGAAGCACATCCACACACGTCTCTGCCCAATCACGTCATTTGTGGTACCCTAGCTGCTGTTTTTCAGGAAGTACTGTCTCTGACTGGTGTCGGCCGTGAAACCCCTGTGGATAACGGAGCCTGTTCTGTCACTCCACGAGATGAACCCACTGACCTCTGATACACAGCTGCCGGCGGGGAGACACACAGGCTCCTGCTTTATCCCGGGATCAGGATCAGTCGGGACATCTTTAAGTGAGCACAGGACGCACACCACAGACTTCCACAATGACACACATTGTGACAGGCTCATGTCCAAGGCAAACCTTTGCCTGGGTGCTGAGCCTGAAATGCAGTGACTGCCACCTAGTGTTCAAGGAGAAGAACACCTTTTACTCATTTGCATATATACTTATGTTTGTGTGTGTGTGTAAACTGACCTTTAGTCCACTTTTTTCTTGCTTCTTTGCAGCTCATCTCTCCTGATTTTGAATACTTTGATGAATTCCAACTGAGCAAAAGTATCCTACGGAAGAAAACATGTACCTAAACCATGTTTAATTAACTTTTTACTCTCTAGTAGAGATATATGTGCCTGCATAGTCCTGGCTGATCAGCAGCTCTTCACTCCTAACACAGCTGCTGTTATGGTTGTTAACAGGTCTTAAATGGGTTTCTGGTACTTTGGTTGCAACATTGCCTCGATGACTAACGTAAACGGATGCTTAGCTGCTAAATTAAACATAGATATTTTGCTTCATATTCATATGAGGGAATGAGACAATGATTGAATTAAAAAAATTAACAACAACTGATTTTTATTACTTGAATAAGTATGAGTCTGCCTGTGTTTCTCCAGGCCAACTCATTGTGAGGTCATCTGATTTGCCCATACACACAAATACATTTAGTTGTACTTGTTTATTCCAACAGCTATACATTGTTGTCATGAACGTTAAATTAAAAAAAGATCAATATAAAAATGCAACTGAGATCAAAAAGCAACTGAGGATGTAAAAAAAAAAAAGATGCATGCTGGATGTTACTGACTGAATGACTCTTTACTGTACAAACCATTAAAACTATGACACATAAACATCCCCCTGACTGAGGGACGGCTGCTGTAATCTTTGTGAGTGACGAAAAAGAGGAAGTAGAAATTATTCCAACATTTTTTTCAAGATTAAAAAGGAAAAAAACAAACAAAAGAACATCCCTCTATCCATCCAACAACTTCAGAATGCTTTCCCTCTCCTTTAGAGCTTTCCATGCCTGGTCTTTCTCCTTCTTGGTGGGGGTGCGTTTCTTCTGCCTGGCTGCCATGATCCTCCGGAATCCCTCCATCACCTCGTTGTCAGCCACCCTCACTCTCTGCCTCAATTCCTGCTTGCGCATTTCTTCCTTTGCCAATCTGTGAGACAACAGAAGGGAGAAAATGATAAATGCCACGCCGTCAGCTTTTAAATAAACTTTGCTGGGCAGAGTTTGCGGTGCTGGTAAACTGAGAGCAGCCCAGGCCTCACCGGAGCAGCTCCTGTTTCCGGGCTCTGTTGTGGGCGCTTAGGGCTTTGAGCTCTGCTTGTCGCTTCTGCAGCTCAGCGAGGACCTCGTCCTCCGAGTCTCCGCCGGTGCCAGGTCTCTCCTCAGAGTCCAGCAGCCCTTGGGCTATCAGCTCCTCTTTGATCCGTGCCTCCAAGGAGCGCGTGTGAGGAACACTGGGGAGGGAAGGAATAAAGACTATGATGATGCACGTGCATGGCAATGCTAAGAGCTGACCAAACTGTTACCATCTGGTTAGATTTAGTACTGAGTTATAGAACTTTGATGTGAGTAGTGACTATACTGTTTTTTTGCAGCTAAATGGAAAAGTTATTTGTCTTACCAAATAAACTGAAGCTGTCGAAAATGCTCTTCCATGTTCCCGAAAAAACTGGCCAATTATTTGACTGAATGTTTTAAAAATGTTATCATTGCCGGTTACAATGGTGGTTTTGATCTTCCACTGGTAACCCTGACCATCCTCGCTAAGCTCTGTGCACACTCGCATAAAATCCTCTGACACTTTGTACAAAGTACACCAATCACTTGGCTCCTCATCCATTAGTGTAGCAGGCTGTGTTAACATAGATGTAAAAATCAGATGCAAACGCAGAAGTTCCTGCACTCAAAAAAGACGGGAACAGCAACCGGCTGATTGTTATTCACTAAGCTAATACGAGACTAACACAGCATATGTACTGTATGTAGACTGATGAACTTCTTACTCTGGCTTAGTTCCAATGTCAGCTGCACTCAAAAAACATCAAGACCAAATGTTGGCTCAGAAAGAGAGCCTTTAATCCCCCCCCCCCCCAAATCCTTCCCTCTGCTATATCAGACCAGTGAACATTGAATCTAAATGGCTGAATACAGCAGTTTGCCATTTGATACAAACATGTGATGTAGCTTTTCTTTGGATTTCTTTTAAATGTATTTGGAAAAACAAAACACACACCTGAAAGCTTTTCCTTGGCTTCGAGGAGAGGTCCCGGCACCATCGTTGGCATCTTTTGCTGATATGTCTGGAATAGGTGAATCCTCCATGGGGGATATAATGTTTTCCTAAAAGATAAAAAAAAAAAGATTTCATTATCTACAAATACGTCAGCATCCGTGTCTGTTTTTACCGAGCATTTTTGATTTATCAGCATAAAAAAAGCTGAGACCCACCTCAACAAGAGCCTGCAGCAGACGCTGCGTGAGAGGACCAAAAGGACAGCCATCTTCTGGTGATTCATGTTGGGATTCTGACTTTTTCAGCAGTGAGTCCACATCTACATGCAACATTGAAGTTAGTATTAGAACAGATGCATGACTCAGTCTGCCATGGGGAAGCCATAGATAGGGAACAGACCTTTTGCATCCAGCTCTGACAGCGGCCCACCCATGAGGCTCTTCTTTTTGTCGTTGGCTCGAGCTCCTTCCCTCTGCTCCTCAAGGAGGTCTTCTTGAGCCCAGCGCTGTGAGTAGTGTTTCCCCAATGCTGGGATCTACACACACACAGCACAGAGAGACACACACGTCACTCTGCTTCTTCAAACACACACAGACACAAGTATAAAGTCAACCCAGTGCTTTTTCTGTCATACTTTGAAATATTCAGCTTCATCATCTGGAGGTTTCAGAAGCTCCTCAAGCTGCCGTATCTCTTCGTTTGTAATATCAGCACAATATGGTTCCACCGATGCCCAGAACCTGAGCACAAAAAAAAACCCAAAGCATGTTTTGATAAATGACCTACCACAGCACATGTCAGAGCAGCCTCACGACTGATGGATAGATTGATATTGATGCTGATATAGATCCAGTATCATTTAGTGCTGAAAAATATATCAGATATAACTGGGTAAAGGAACTGGAGCTTCGTTGCTGACCTATTGGGAGCATCATTTTTTGGAGTACGGGGAATATCTTGTGGATCATCCGTGAATTCATACTCCTGAACTTTTGGCGTCAGGCTTTGGGGTTTGGGTCTTCCAGGACCTGGGCCTGGCCTGTGTCCTCCCTTGCTGTCCAATTTCTGCTTCTTTTGCTTGTGACGGGAGGAGGCTGCAGGGTCGGGGTCTTTTCCCAGTTTCAAGAAACGCTTGTCTCCCTTCTTGTCTTGCCAATCTGTGAGGATCTGACATGCAGAAAAAAGGAGAGAGGATGTAAGTACAGATCAGTGTTGTCATTTGGGACTCACGTATAGATCTGATCTATAGCCTTGGAGCTGAATGATGTGCAGACTTCCTCCTACCTGTCTCTGCTCCTCCAGGGCTCGGAGGCGGCGGCTGGCGGAGGACAGGAGTGTCTCCAGCTCCAGCTGCATGGTGTCCAGCTCTTCGATGCCGATCCCATCGTCTTCAGATCGGCTGAGCACAGCAGTGTAGCGGGGACACAGCTTGACATGCTCGACGGGCTTGAAGTCGTAGTATTTGAGCGGGGGGCAGTCCTTCAGCTCGCTCATGATGCCCTGAGCGGGGGAGCCGTCAGCACCTGGTCAAACTAATACTACCGGAGGGAGACACCAGACACACACATTAGAAAATCTAGAGCACGTACGAACGCAAGAGGGCACGCACTCAACTCACGTACAGGCAGGGCTGCTTCGTCTAGCGCAGGGCCCCGAGTTATCCCGAATTACTTTTAAATTCTAACCGCAGCCATTGTGTATTAACAGTTATCAACCCAGTGTTGTGTAAGAGAAGGCTCTGGGAGCTCAACATAAAACACCACGCACATATAAATATACATTTTAACGTTTAAGAGATAGAGTCTTTACCGTCAGTGAAAGGTGTCCATGATGGAAAAAACCATTGCGATGAGAGGAATGTATGCTGCATTTTGTAACTATGTTACCTTTTATTCGAGACTATGTATATGCTATATTGAGAATTTATCTTTTATAACAATCTTAATATCAATAGGTAGTATTACACAGTGAAACACGTTAATACAAACGTAACAAGTATTACGTTATCAACAGTTGAGGCTATAGTGGTATAGTCGGAATAAACTATTTCATATAGAGGGGCGTCTACCATCGTACCTTTCAATTAAATTATGTTTATACTTTCAGAATATTCCACATACGTAACAAAACGTTACATGTATGGGTATTTTTGTATAAATAAAAGTTTTGAAAAAGTCAAATTAACAACAGATCGAACGACCGCTGTTAGACGTCCCCCCTCCGAGCAAACCGAAATGGATGCACTCAAGGAGATACTCGTTTTAGTCAAATTAATTTCCACGCGGGCGGAGTTATCAACTTGGTGACGCGAATGAGGTGTCTGATAGAAAAAAACCCATCTCGGCAAAGATAAAACAGAAAAACTAACACACCCTAGCTGTGCCAGACTATGCAGGATTTACGGAAGAGTCGTCCCAGGCGTGGCTGAAGGAACTTCCGTCTTCTACAGGTCAAAATGGTAAGCTCTTGCCTTAGATATATTTTTTATGTTTTATTACTTTTATATTTATCCCAATTCATTTTGAATTTACTGGAGACGGGATTAACTTGCTGTTTCCAGCCTTTTAACGATGGGTTTTATGGTTGGCTGCAGTAAAACCAGACAGCGGCTATCATTGATTCGGTATGCAGAAAGTAGACAGAGATGAGCTGTCTTTTTCTCTCGCCTTACTGTGCTGTCATTACTGTTCTATCTAGCTTAAACAAAAGTCGAGCATTTGTGAGCGCAGTAGACACTGGAAACATACTTAGCATCAGTTATTTTGATGGATCCCGATCACTGCTGCAAGCGAAATGAGTGGGTTCGAACCGGAACCCGGAAAGTGGTGGATACGTCATGTTCTGTGACTTAAAACCACGGACGATTGCTAAAAGTAAATCAAATACCAACATGCAGTTCACCTAATGTGAGCAGCGGCTAGCTCTCAGCTCGTTCTGGGTTCTCCTCCTAAACCTGACCTCATTGCGGTCAGGTTCACGTTGTTTGCAATTCGATCTCAATCCAAAATCCCATCATCTGGTCTAGCCCTAACCCTGACACTTGTCCTCTCTCCTCAGACAGCGACTCTGCGCCCCTACTTGAACGCTGTGAGGGCCACCCTGCAGGCGGCTCTCTGCCTGGAGAACTTCTCCTCTCAGGTGGTGGAGCGCCACAACAAGCCGGAGGTGGAGGTCAGGTATGTTCAGTGGATTCACTGGATTCTAGGCAGCCTTAATGGCAGTCAACATTCTTCGCGTCCTCCTGTTTTTCCTACCTTCAAGCCATCAGCTGCTCCTGCACAGGTTGGGGCTTGTGCAGACTTGCTTGAGCGGAAAGAAAAAATGACACAAGCATGGGCAAGACTCAGAAGTTGGAGGGAAGGGGCCAGCTGTGGCCTGCCTGCATGTAACCATAACTTATCAAGGGGTCTTGAGTGCAAACGTGTTGTAACGTTTAATGTTACGATGTAAAAAAACTGAGGCTGCCTTGTTGATGATGTTTCCAGGAGCAGTAAGGAGCTGCTTCTTCAGCCGGTGGTGATCAGCCGTAACGATAAGGAGAAAGTTCTCATCGAGGGGTCCATTAACTCTGTCAGAGTCAGCATTGCTGTCAAGCAGGTAAATGAACTCACAATCTTTCTCTACAGTTTGATTCCCAAATTCGTTTGGAGCTAAATGAAACTCCTGTTGTGACTTCTCGTAGGCTGATGAGATCGAGAAGATCCTTTGCCACAAGTTCATGCGCTTCATGATGATGAGGGCTGAGAACTTTTTCATTCTGAGGAGGAAACCAGTAGAGGTAAGGGCTGTTTTGGGGGAGGAAAGTAGCAGGTTAGTCAGCAGATGACGGACAAGTGCTGTCATCTTGTGAAGATATTCCAATATAAATGGAAAATGCCCAAATAAGTTACAGTGCCACAGTCCCTCAAATGTGATTTTTAAAAAGTGATGCTCAACAATCCCTTTTTCTTTCACGTCTCTGCAGGGATATGATATTAGCTTCTTGATTACCAACTTCCACACAGAGCAGATGTACAAGCACAAGCTGGTGGACTTCGTCATCCACTTTATGGAGGAGATCGACAAGGAGATCAGCGAGATGAAACTGTCCGTTAATGCCAGGGCCCGTATCGTTGCCGAAGAATTCCTCAAGAATGTAAGCGGCGTCTTTTCTGCAGGAGCCACAGACCTGGATGCCGTCACCTGACGGGGTGCTAATTGGATTGAATTAACACACTTGAATATAATTAAATTGAATATAATTTTTTCCCTCCATCTTTTCTGCAGTTCTGATGACAGCGTTGGACTCGGTCTCGTACGAGCCTTGGAAAACTCTTAAGGGCCAAACAGCACGGGGGAGGAGAACTTAAGGAGTGAGCAGCCAATCAGCAAGGAGATGAGAGGGACCTGACCAATCAGAAGCCCCTTTGCGCCCGATCCCCAGTATTTCCCTGTAGTCGTGAATATCAATTCATGTATATAATGAAACATTTACCAGTTTAATTTTCAGCCTCTCTGAACAAATCCCCAAACAAAGGCGGGTCCTTAAAGTATTAATCAAGTTGATATCCACGGATACAGGGGCACTGAGGGCTGTGTTGCAAATAAAACAGCCAATTATTTTTTTCTTTCTATCTTGTGTATGTGACTCTGTATGTTCTGTCTCTATTGTTTGAAATTTGTCTCCCAAAAAAATTCTCCGTCGAGAACATACATGTCTGAGTAAGAAATCTGTGTGGCATTAAATCACATGGAACGCCATCCGTCTGTAAAGACGCCACAGTATCCCATGTAAACAAAAAAAGGTTAGAGAGAATAAAAGTCACTTGTTATACTTGTGTGCTGGGATTTCTAAAGCACCATTTATGGTTCGAGTCAGAGCTCTGCTGTACCTATAAATGGGTTTGCTGTTTCTGAGGAAGTCGTTTTTAAGACCGCACTTATGTCACTTCTCTCTTCAAACTCGGCTGATTTTGAGGAAGGGGAAGTGCCGCACACAGCGTGTGAACGGCACGCATTCAGATTTCCAGGCGGTAGCGGATGATTCATTTAACGACCGCCGTCCGTGGGGAAAGACATATTTTCATGAAGGCCCATTTTTTGTTATTTCATCAACAAAAATAACTGAACACACAGGATTACAAACCTCCACTCTGAAATATGTTTGAGTAGCATAAATTCTGCTATCTTGAGTGGCCACGATGACTTTTCTTCAGCAGCTCGTGGGAATTTGGGGTATCGGTGGGGAATAATGAACTGAATTACTGAGGAAACAGTTCTGAGTGTGTTGGTTGGATAGTTGCAAAAGCTGGGTGGTTTAGAAAAATAACATTTTTTATTTCAGTTGGGTCGGAACATACATTTTCAAGTCACAAGCAACACAATCAGCTCTAAGCTAATTTTCCTTATTCGCACATATTGCCTATCAAAACGGTGAGATCTGGGTTTAGGCCGAATAGTTCGGGCAGAGACAACACAGTACACAGGCTGGCCACCCCACGCTGTACAGGAGCTGCTGATACAACACAGCTGGCTGATGGTTTAGTCACTGTTTGCTCACCTCGGAACGGCTATTAACGGCCTCTCAGTCTCCACAGTTGCGACGGTGAGCTTTGCGGTTCGAAACCCACGGATTGCACGTGATTACAGAAGACACCTTGGCGTGAAGTGATTGCGGGATGCGGTACCACGTCAGACATGCAGCAAGGGGAAAAAGTCACAGAATTATTACACTGAACCACACAGTTAACTCTCGAAAACACGTTGCAGTAACCTCCCGTGGCTATTGTGCAGCGCAATATCGACACCGTAGTGAATGTAGTAACGGTTAAACAGGAATTTGCTGCGAGCACCCCGTGTGAGGGAACAGTGCAGATCAAAGTTAAAGTGGACCAGCTGAGCTGGGTGTCACACTGGGAAGCCTTCAGACATGGACTCTGGCTGAGCTCCTTGAAGTCTCTCTTGAAAGATGGGACGCATCACGGTCACTAGGCAGGTGGCGAGAGTGGAAATCGGCCAGAGTCCGTCACGGGCCGGAGACAGAAGGGGGAGTCCAGGGTCACCAGGCATCAGTGGTGGGGGGGGACGGTCTGCAGGGCGTCTTCGGCTGTACGATGGATATTCACATTCTGGAAGGAGGAAGGCAGCCGTCAGAGGGCTTTAGCATAAATGTGCATCAGCGTCTACAGGGAGTTCAAAAAAAGCTAAACAAAATAAAACAATAAAAGAAGAAAATACGTTTTTAATTTACTTACTATAGCAACACAGCATCCAAGGGACGCAGTGGTCCATACATTTAAGGTCAGCCTTTCTACTGTTAAAGGGTGGAAGCAACAGTATCCTGCACAATGCTGATAGCATCACATTTCTCTCTCAACTGTCTGAAATGTGCATGCCTGCAGCCCATAAATCAGACATGATCCATCTCTGTGGAAGTATGTTTGATTGATACCAAAAGCACTGCTCACGGCAAGCTTGTAACAAATGGCCTTTGTAACTCATTTGTAAAAATGTCATCATTTGCAGCCAAATTATTTACTTTGTAACCAAGCTGAAAGCTTCTAACAAGCACGGACTTTGTGATCCCTTTTAGTCGGGGCAGACAGAGATCTGTGCCAGGCACAAGTGGGCTGATGAATGGCTGCATTCAGCCTCTGGTAAATCTTTGCATGTGAATGAACTTGAAGTATCAGAGTCTTCAGCTAGCAGCAGAGTAACGGCGGGGACGGGCACACAGCATTGTATCCGATGATAGCCGAGATATATGAAAATGACAAACCAAATATGTATTGTTGTTAGTACTAACAGTTTTCATGCCAAACCTTCTAAAATGAAGCACAAAGAGAGTGTGGTAAGGATTCATGAGGTGGTTGAGTGGATTTTATTTAGAAACAGTAAACAGAGATATGTTCCTCTGTATTCTTATCATTATTATGAACTATGCATTTCTGTACCCCTATTATCTTCATTTAACAGAGTTACACATCCTTAAAACCTAGCTGTGGATTGTATGTGCAAAGCAGAAAAAAGCGCAACTCTGATTTATTGTGCTGTATTGTCAATTAAAGAATAGAGTTCCACTGCTACCCATGACATTATAACATTATTATCATCTGTTCTAAAGACAGTATTGATCCAAAAAGTGACCATAGTCAATCAATGTTAACTCAGATAAGGTGCTGGAGCAACAGTGCTTCACAGTTGGGTGTGCATCATCAGCTTAAAAAGACCCTTGATTGCCCTTCACTCACTCTCCAAAAGAAATGGAGAACGACAAGATCCGCTACAGGATTCATAATCAAAAATGAAGAAAAACTGGATTCCAGTCAATTACCATCATCAGCATGTCTTAAGATATATAACACAGCAGACAGGAACAGCGTGCAGATTAAAACAACTGTGGTGTACACTGTGTCTGAGGGGTTCATAGTGTGGGGTGCGGGTTAAAGGGTGGGACTGTTGGGGGAGGGGGCAAATGCCTCATTGGTGAGCTGGCACTGTAAGCAAAGCCTCCTCTGACATCCGTGACACTTCTACGTTCTGTTCGATGAAAAACAGACAAAGAGGAGGGGGAATCAAAACACAGGAGACACATCACAGCCGCTGCACAAACACAAAGTCAAAGACTCCTAAAGTGTCAAGTTTAGCTCGGTAGGAGGCCAGCTGTGTGTTAGCAAGTCAAACACAAACCAGAGCGGTTATATTGATATATGCTACATATACACCTTTGATTTATAAGCTGCTAAAACAAGGATTTGACTCTTTGTGGGCTGGAATGCATCGCTTAGCTTCCACATGGTGGTAACTAGAAACATGTTTAATGAGTGTGTGTAGCTGGCTATGAAAGGTTTGGCCCTCAGAATAGTGCATTATGTATTCAACCTGTTTTTGAGTCACCTTACCTTGGAACTGAATCAGTCTGTGAGTACGTGTGTGTGTATGTGTGTGTGTGTGTGTGTGAGAGAGACACCCACCTCTGGTTTTTCTCTGTGTGTGTTGACTGCGTCCACGTTTAGGCTGATGGACTCCACTTTACAGCCTGTTTAGACAAGTTTGTTTCATCTGTTCATCAGTTTGATCTTTTTTTGTTAGAAGGTGCAGATTTAAACATGGATTATAAAGTCTTCATACCGTAGGCCACCGGCGTTAGCTTCAGCACGGTGTGCAGCGGGCACTTCAGGTACGGGAGCTCTTCTGTAAGCACAAAATAAAAAATAAAAACTTAGTTCCTTATGTCATGTTTAGATATTGATTAGAAACTGATACTGACAGCATGATGGCAGTTTATGATCAATCACGCAGGCAAGACAAATCAGACTTTGGTTCAGCGATTTTGAAAATAATTCTTAGTTAGGGGGAGATGTACTTTGAAAGAAAAACACTTTTGTCAAACACCTTATTTGTCCCTCTGCTCTACGGGTTACTTGACTTTTATATAAAGGTATCGACCTGCTGTTTTGTCCAAAAAGTAGGCCAACAGACAGCGCATGACGGCTTGATGGCAGATGACCAGGACATTTTCTTGTCTCTCCAACTCCATGATGACCGGCTCCAGCCGCTGCACCAGGTCCTCGTAGGACTGCGTGCAACAGCGACAACAACAGCACATCAGACAGAGGCAAAGCAGAGCCCTACATTCATCATGATAAGCTAATAAAGGAATAGAGCTTGTAAAAGGCTACTTTAAGTTGTGTTCACAGGTAAACTGATTTTTAAGGACATGCCCCAAGGCATGTGACATGGGCACTGGTCACCCGCCTAATGCTTAAATCCATCTTTCTGTGTGAGACCAATGGAGGCGTAATCAGATAAAAGAAAAGGTGACAGCACACCAGCGGGCATTCAGCCCCGTAGTAAGGGACTTGACCCTGTACATTTGGAACGCACATGGGAATAAAAGCTAAAGCGATGCGTTTGTTTGTCAAGATCCAGCCGAAGCAGAACCTCATTAGAAGAGCGTGAGAAGCTGGAAGCTATCTGGATTTGGATTAATAGCGGGTTGGTGCTGATGTGTGCGAGGGGAAAGACAAAATATGCCATTATGTTAAAAAAAATAATACATTAAAAAATCAACAACAATTCAGCATTAAACAAAACACACAGCAAAGACAATATTTGTCGACCCACCTCCCCTTTTGGGTAGCGATAGCGGTATTTGTCCTGGTCCCTCAGAGCAAACTCCAGAGGATGGCTTTCCTGGATCTCCTCGTACATCATCTCCTCACATACACCCTAAAACACATCACAATCACTGGTAAATGATTGGAAGGGACTAAACTGAGGTCAGTGGAAACCAGCGGAGCACTGCTTACAGCGTCAATCTCATTGAGGACTTTCCACTGCTCGTAGGGAACATTGAGAGCCTCTGCTGTCTGGATGGTCCTCTTCATCTGACTCGTCCACACCTTCAGGTCACTAATTTTCTGCGTCTCCATGAACTGGTTTAGCTTCTTGGCAAACTGCAGGGAAATTAGGCGTTAGGCCTGTCTTTCTTTTAGCTTTGAAAAAAATATTGCATGCATTTTGAATTTGAAAGGACCTCTTTGCCCCTCGGTGTGAGACCAGAGTCTCCTCCGATTCGACCCTTCACATTAAGCTCGCTCTCCCCGTGACGACACAGGTAAATGGACCGTGGCGTGATGTGGATGTTCATGAGGTAGTAGACGATCCGGCTCTGGATGTGGTCCAACACTCTATTGACCAAGTAGCGCTGCCCGACATCCATGATTTTAATGTAGGAGAGATCCCTGAGAGGAGACGACGGCTGCATTAAAGCCAGGTTCACTCAGGTGAAAACTGAACGCACCCTCCGCCCCGGTTTCAGCCTCACCTGTCCAGAACCTCGTCCAGCGTCTCGTAGGAGTTTTCATAGCATTTGATCCTCTTCATGAAATCCTCCACTGCTTCTTCAGTGTTGCAGTTGGTGTAGTCGGGGCTGCACAGCTTCACTTGCTAAAACACGGCAAAGGCAGCAAAGTGAGCACAAGACCAGCGAACGCTCAACTCCCCCTGAAACAAGCACACCAACTCACCACTATGTTTTCCTGTATGACATCTGGGTCTTCACACACAGACTCCACAAAGAACACCTGAGAGGAGCACAAAAAGACACGGGCTCAGTGTGGCCCTGGACAATCGCGGCGTCCTCTGACGCACGGCCCGGCATGCACCTTGAAACCATTCTGTTCAGCAAACTGGATGATAGTGTCCCTTCTTTCTCTGGTGGTGTTTGTGGCATCAAACACCTATAAACACAAACACACACAGGGCCAAAGATGTCAAGCTTTGTTTGTTTGTTTGAAGTGAGAGAAAGCTTTCTGCCAACTGGGCATTTGACCTACAGCAACTTGGCCTCCATCCTTTGTAAGGTACTGTCGCACATCGTTCAGCGCCGCCGAGGCACACTGCCTGCAAGGATTACAAACCACCCCGGCCATAAATATCCCGCGTCTGGTTTCTGCATCAATTCTTACGGCACCAAGTGACTCCTACCTTCTGATCTTTAACCCCTCCTCGTTGTCCGGACTGAAGAACTCAAAAGACTTGTAAATCTTGACGAAGTCTCTTCTGTACTGCCCTACATTGAACTCTGCAGGAGTGGAAAAAAAGGGGTGTCAAAAGAAAAGGCACCACTATGATGATCCGAATCACCTCTTTTTTTCATTAACGTTGGGTTTGCACAGCTCTGCCTCATTTCCTGGGGAGCCCTACCTCTGGTGGGCACACCGATCCAGTTGAGATAGCGAGTCAGCTTTTTGGATATGTAAGTCTTTCCTCTGGCAGGAAGGCCCACCGTAACGATCAGGGTGGGGCAGTTAGTCATACACACTGGAACAAAAAAAAGAGAAAGAAAGGCTCAGTTTTGATGTGCACAATTGATCAGCCCGACATGATATTTATTCAGCAATTCTGCTCATTGCCTGACTTTACGGCAGTAAGAAATGGCTCCATCTCTTTCAGAATCATGACTGTGCACATGACTAAAACAAAAGAAATGCAATCTTAGGCCTAGATTGTCTTTATCTGAGCAGATTGAGCAGCAGAGGTCACTATGATGATGGAGTTGGGAAACTTTAACTCCTGCAGACAGATGGCAAGACACCAGAGATGTTTCCACACTATGCACAGAGGAATAACACAGATAGTTGTCGTGGTATGAATGTCTGTTAAGGTAGAAGTCTTCGTCAACTATATGTCAACCATGAGGTTTTTTTCTTTTGTTAATCAGCCAACCGACCTGTTCAGCGTGCAACTCCACCCCACAGACATCTGCACCTAAGTCCTGACATGTTTCACTATTGATCCGGATCATCAGCCCATAGTGCCATGGGTCAGGTGGAAAGCGTGAGCGCAATCCCTCACAATGACCGC